AATGTAAACAACATAAATATATTATATGAACATTAAATATATATCTCGATATTATTATAAATTTTAATAATTGAAAAATAATAATAAAATAATCACAATTTTACCAGAAAATATGGATTTAACCTATCAGAATGCTATTAGTAAAATATACAATATGCATATATCATAAAATATACTTAGTATAATATAATATAGTCTGACGCTTGACAGGCCACGGTCTTCGCACAGAATCGTTTTTCGCACCTATGCAATAAATCATTGAATCGAAATGTAACACATACATAATAGTGCTTTACTCAATGACGAAGTATACTTGATGATTGGACGCATATTGATCAGCAGAACCATTCCTTACTTACTCATTTTATCTGTTTGAAGTACATAAAGAGTATAACTGCATAATCTCAAATTAAAAATTAGTGTACGATATTGAAAGTTGGTTAAATTTGAATGTGTCTAATATTTATTTATATTTTTCAGATGGAAAACATTAAATGAKTGTGGTTATTTGGCAGTKATGAAGTTAGTTCCAGTGATCTCTGCAGTTCTGTTATATGCCATCGTGGTTACCAGTAAGTTTGTTCTTGAAAAATAATACTTATCAATTGTTATTATCAAGTTTAGTTTCCTACATGTCTTATTTAAAAACATTCTATTGGTCAACGAGAACAATATGGTAACAAAAAAAACTATACATTATGGTTATGCCACTTAGGATCTATTTCTCATCGACATCAACATTAAATAATATATATTTATCACACAATAAACGAGAAAATACTCATCTTATATTTTATAAATCTACTGTTATGCTAACAATATGGTTATCTCAAAACTTTTGGAATTCATATAAAGTAGGTATTATAGTGGATATAGTGTATTATTTATGAATAATATTAAACTGATTATATATTTAAGCTTTTGATAACAAAACTGTGTGTAAAACCCGTCAWATATATATTTACACATTAGACAAAGAAWGATTAATAAATTGTGTTGAAATTATGCATTTATGATAACAGTAGAAGGATTTGGCATTAACCATAACCCCATGAAATTGAGTGATAATTTACAAAATTACACTTCTAATTTAACTTAAAGTTTAATCTAAACTTAAAAATATATGTCATAGTTAATATATCATGTATTCATATTACATAAAATATAACAATATTATAACCCTTACATTGATATACATATATATTATTACTGAATAGAAAAATATATCTTAAAATTTATTAAACAAGTAGTAAACTATAATTTTTAAGATTATTATATCAAAATATAAATTAAATCCATTATCTACTAACTTTTTTCGTGTTTAAGT